AGGCGGGGTTTATGACCTATACTGCAGCCAGACACCAGGGGACGACAGAGATGTTTTGGCTTAATTTTTGGGTAGCTATCGCGTCGTCCATGTTTTCTACAGTCATTGGTTTCAAACACAGTCCTCTCTGGTGACATCTGCTGGCCAAAAATATGAGGTACATCTTGAATCTACTAATTAAAAGGATTGCCTACTCTACAGAGTGGAGTTTACATTTCTGTCTGATATTGATTGTGTTGCTTTGGACATTTATTTTTTGGGGTGAACTTTTTTTTTTATATATTTGTTTAATAAAGAAATTTGATCAATGAACTTTCCTTATTTAAACATGTGCCATTGTGTGGTCTTTCTTTACATGTCTGTGAAGGTTCTCAATCCTCATCAAGGCAGCAAAGATGCACAGACAAGACCAGACACCAATTAGGGAGGATAAGAAAGACAAACGCAACAACATTGTCATCCCCTGTGTAGCCAGTGTATCAGAAAAACTCGGCATCCCAGTATAATTCAGACCCAGCAACACACTCAGACAGAAACTGGACCTCTACATTGGATAGACCAAACAGCAAGTTCACAAACGTATGGCACAACATAGAAGAGCCACCTCCACGGGACAAGACTCGGCTGTCTATCTGCATCTAAAGGACAAAGGTTACTCTTTCGAGGATACTAATGTTCACATTTTGGAAAGAGGGGCTTGAAAGAGGAGTGAAAGAAGCCATTTATGTCCACTGTGAACGACCACCTTTGAACAGAGGTGGTGGTTTACGACACCAACTGTCTCCATAATCCAGTTTTCAGAAACCTTCCCAGACGCCTTAACGCCCACTCACATCCTGGGCCATCTGACCTCAGGGTCTGATAGGGTGGGGCTAGGTTTCACAATGAGCTCATCCAAAACCTTGGATGATTGTGACCTACACCCATTTTCACACCTTGGCTCATGTGATTAGGTAGAGGATCATTAGAGGGTCCATTGTCCCTCTCGGTGGGTTACTCCCACAGGGCTTAAATCTGGTACTCTCCACCATTTGACTCTAGAACTAAAGAAGCTTCTCGGATGAGAGGTGAAATGTCTTCAAGCAACTTAAAGAAGTCCAGACACTTTTCTTTCCAAGCTCCTTAGACTTTTTCTTTACATATGACTTCTGGATATTGGTAAATACAATAGACGATTGTTAAATACCAACATATACATAAAATAATGCACAATACATTATGGAGTGTGCTTCTTCTGTGAGATCCCGATGTACTTTAATCACTGGACAGCTGGAC